AAAAGGGTCAACTGATAAAACGGCATCCCCAGAAGTGCTTCAACAGTACAAGTTGCATGTAATTGATTGAAACGTGTAACTGACTGAGAATGTATCTCTCGTTAAACTATTTTTCTTTCCGCCAGTATTTACATTGATATACTGGTTTAATGTATCGATAAGATAAGAAATTTCTAAATTCTACCTTGAAGATAGAGAGGAAAATAGAGATATTTTAAATAGATACTCTTTGTTACGATTCGTCATTTTGTACATGATGCGTCAGTTCTGTTCTGGTTCGAATGGCGAAAAAAAAAAAAAAAAATGAGGAATCGCATTGCAGGGACTTCCTGGATTTTAATACGTGAACGCCCTCGGCCAGCGATTTCCACACAGCGATTTTTCTCGTGTGTGCCCGTGTGTGAAGTCACGCCGCTGGCACTTTCCCTTTTCAAGATCGATTTTGGCGCCGTGCGTCCGGACGGCGCAAGTCGACGACGTCGACGGTTCTTCAGGCAGGGCTGTATTTACACGCAACCGTCCAATTTTCACCCCTCGTTTCACTTTTTTCATGAGAAAAATCGATGGGCACGCACTGCCCTTGTCATTTCGAGCAATTTCTCGAGAAATTTTCCCGAAATTTGTAGGACTCTTGATTTTAATCGAAATCGGCACGGAGTAATCGATCAGCGATGCGAATGTAATGCTATTGTTCGAAGACGGAGATTCCCTCCATTTTTCTTTCGCAAAAGTACATCGCGACAGCCACAAAATTTTCGATCAATTTGTCCACGCTTTCTATTTATTCCTCATTCCTACCCTTCCCTCCCCCTTCCCCCTCCCCTATCTTTTCAGTACCTCGATCACCATGCTCGCTCCATCGACTTGTTAAATGGCAAAAAAATACGAGGGCAGCGAGAGAGAGAGAGAGAGAGAGAGAGAGAGAGAGAGAGAGAGAGAGAGAGACGGAAGAAAAAGAGTACTCGAAAAAAGATGTCTTAGGCTGGGACATCAAAAGCTCTTCCACGGGGGTGACCCGCCGCGATCCATCCCTGTCCGCAAAGGCTCTCTTTCTCTCTTCCTCTTTTTCTTTCTCTCTCTCTCTCTCTCTCTCTCGGTTCCTCCTCACCCCTCTTTCGTCTCCCTTGCCTCGCGAAAATCCTCCCACCTTTCGTTAAAGGTGACCCGACGAAATCGCCAACGAGTCACACGTGCGTGCAAAAGGGTTGAAGAGAGGGAGAGGGCAGTTGAAGGGAAAAAGAAGAGAGACAGGAGGAGTCCTCCGGCGGGTGGTAGGCCGCGGGTACCACGAGGCAGACAGTGCACGCACTCTTCGCGCTATGTCATGGATACCGCCGAAAATCCCCTAAAGGGAAGTACGCGAAACAAAGGCCAATCCCCTTCCACCCTCGTATTGCTTGCCGTCCGTTGTATCTCTTCCGTTCTCTTCTTCCTCCTCGCGTGCGCCAGGGCGCGTTTAGTGCATCCTTGTCTATTTCACCCTTGCCTCTTTTTATTCCTCAATTTTATGAATGTACGCTTAATTTGTTGTTGACTTTCATATATACTTCCCTCAGTTGAAATATAGTTTAATAAATTACTTAATGTAAATATAATGTACATCTGAGAGAGTTTATATCAGAAATTTAATCGTTATTAAGAGAAACTCTCCTCAAACATATACAATTTTATTTGTGATTAAAACGAAAATGATTATGTATTTTCTAAGATTTTTGTGATCTCTGAAAAATATAGAGAGAATATTTTATTGAAATTTTTTTTTTCCAATTCTTGTTTGCTTAATTTTACACTTATATTAACTTCGGATTGCACTTGCGAGGTTTGCGTCGAAAAATACGCGGTAAGCAATTTGTATTATGTAACTAAATTAATTCGCACGAATAAGAATTTACAGTAATATTTTTAAAAAATTTCTTTTTTTTTTTTTTATTTCAATTAGAATCTGGAAATTACGTATTTGCCACACGGAGTCGTACTTTGCTTCTCGTAATAAAGAATCCTACTTGTAATAGAAAATATTCATTAAGTAATATTCAACTTCAAGTTTTGTCAAATTACTCTGTTATTGCGTATCATAAGCGAATTGAAGAGCGTTTTACAATCTACTCTGACTTTTATTGTTTATTTTATGTTTTTAATTTTGACATCTTTATTTTTGTATGTACTGATGTTGGTCAAATCTCGAAACGTCTACGTTATTATATTATAATTTTAAATATATGACTTTCGCTTAAGACACCTAGTGTTGTGGCTGAATGCTCCCTTTTATTTATAAAATATTTTATTCTTGAGATTTCTTCACGTCCATTTATGCGTTTAATCATAGACAGATATGAATGAACTAATATTTTGCACTAGTTTTCTTATCGCTGCATTTTTATCTGACAAAGCTGCATGCACTTTCTTTTAAGCGTTATTACGTGAATAGAAATCGACATTACAGCATTATCGATCGTCAATTTGCTGATTAAATAAATTCATGATAAGCAGTTACTCAGAAATTCAACGTGAATTGCAACATTAATACGGAATGATCCCTCGTTGCATGTAAGTGCATCGCGACTCAACAATGCATCCTCGCGTGTATCGAGCACATTTCGCTTTCTCCATAAATTATTTTTGCAATGCATAAAGAGAAAAAAGTTTCTACTAGACATATCTCAAGAAGCAAATATTATTAGAATTGTCATTTTTAATAAATAATTTTTAAATTATTGAAACTTAATTGTATCTATAAATTGATTGTATATAGAAATATATAATTACAAATTTTCTACAAATTAATCTCGAGTTTTAATTAACATACGTATTTATCTTTGATAGGCATATTTAACATCTTAATGCAATATAATACGATTACAATTACAATGTTCATCGAAACAGCTATAAGTATGATAAATTTATGTAGAAATTTTTAAATAAAATATTCGTAAGTATACGATATTTACTGACCAACTTTTTAAGGAATTTTAACCTGACGATATTTCCAGACGGCTGATTCGTAATCTAACTGGTCAGAAACATGCTCGTAGCTAATCTAGGTTGCACAAGGCTGATCGCTCGCGGTCTTATCTCACGCAAGTGCGATAGAGTTTATCCTCGAACTCGAGTAGATCCTACAGGGTCATTCGCCGTGTCTTCTTCAAGGTTGCTCGAAAGCATCGCGGCATCGTCGAGTGAGTGGGTCGGTCCGCTGAAAAATCGATACGTACGAAAGTGAGAGTCGCTCCCTCGGTTGTTCCACCCTCCTTTTTGTTCTTCACGCTTCGCGTACTCTTCTTACTTGCCGTTTGGTTCATTCATGTTGTCGTGGCGGCCGCGCCGATACACCTAAACGCGCGAGCACAGTTTACGCTCGTGCAAACCCGAACAAAGTGCGCAAAGCCGGTCAAAATGTAATTTAAAGCGCGTTAACGGCATGCAATTTCAAAACGTATTCTGCGCAAAAATATTTCTTTCAATACATGATCCAGGGTGTCTTGAAAAGACTCGTCCTTTTTATCGAATCCTAAATTGTGTCAGACATAACACACACATCCGATATACTAAATTCCTTAATGATGTACTGATGGAATAATGAGATTCCTTCGTGGAATTGTGACAAATTGTGAAGTTTTCTTTAATTAAATATTAAGATATTTAAAATGATTATAAATAAAATGTCATTTCTCTTACACGAGCTATCATTAACATATGTTCAATACAATTTTCTCAATTTGCAATTAATTTGAGATGTGAATTCATGATTATCTTATCATTATTTCATCCAATGTTTTAAGACGACTTTCTTTCGTGTTTAGGAATGTATAACGTCAAGTCAGCAAATTTGAATGTGACTTCTCCTTAGATATGCAAAGGAAAAAATGTTAATGTTTGTATTGAAAGAGGACCTAAAGAGGACTCCAAAGTGAGTCGAAACGTTCAAAGATTATTGGAATAAAAGTTCAAGATTAAACTTTGCATATTAATTACCACACTGACTCTCAATCGCCCTGGTTTTGGATTCTTTTTTTTTTTTTATATAAATCAAAAGATTACAATTTCTAATCGAATTCCAAATTTTATTTTTCCAAATCTTATTCAAATATCTCTTTAATATTACATTATAATATTATAATATTTACATATAATATTTACAATATAATATAATATTAAAAATTATTCTGTATTGTTCCACAAACAGTCGTCAAGGAAGCTTTTTTAAGTAGTAAAAAGACCAAAGAAAGCCCGACAATATAAAATCTATTAAACCAAGCATCCTCGTTGTTTGATACATATTCGAAATTTAAAGAGACAATATCCGATCGATCTCTATAGAATTTCTGAAAAAAAAAAAAAAAAAAAATTGTGTTTAATTTGTGTTTAACGCATAAAGTTTTATTTATTTATTTAGCATGCATTTTTTCCTCAGTTGTTGTTAAATATATATTTGTATATTGTAATTCTGTAATTTGCGTATAATAATTAGTTTTGCAATTTTATAAAACAACTTGATAAATTTGATATTAATATTATTAAGTGACGACACGTCAACAGATATATCTCGTTATATTGTAAGACAACAATGTCGCTATGTAATGTAAACAGCCGATGACTCCCCGCCAGGGGGGAATGTTATAACTCGGCTTTCAAAGTTTATTACCGATTACCGTTGGAATCTTGCTTGCTGCCGTGTAATTCTGTCAGAGTCTCGTTCATATCTGGCACTTTATGGCCGCTCTCTTTCTTCGCTTACAATCTCTACTCACTCAAGAATTGGAATACGTAAAAGAGATACGCAAGATGATGTGGTAGTGGAATATCTTTTGCATTTGTTATACGCTGTTAATGATATTAATATCACGTTATTAGACAGCATAATTATGAACATAAGTGCGCGTGTATGTGTGTGTGTGTGTGTGTGTGTGTTAATATAAAGTATCGTTTACCTCACTTTGTGTTACTTCTTCATGTTCGCTGAAATATGTCGCTTAATCCCGGATATTATTTTCTATTTCCAGCAGCAGCGGAGTTGCTAAAGTCCTCGTAAGCAATCTATCGGCTCAAGTACGACTAGAAGAGCTGGACCTGCTGTTCTCCAACTACGGCCAGATCCAAAACATCGAAAAAGTGCCGTCGAGGGATCCAAATTTACTAAGCGTGCTCATTAGCTATGAGACGCAAGAGCAAGTACAACAGTACGTAATCGGCACGGTCTTTTATCTCCTCTGTTTTTCAAAAGATCACGCGATTTGGAAACTTCATAGCGTAGAGGTCGCTCTCTCTCTCTCTCTCTCTCTCACTTTTGCTCATATTTTCTTCGCTACGAAGTAGCGAATCGTGAAAATTCTTTCCTACCGCATGTATACATTCGCATTTGGAATTCACGTTAGGACACTTTAGGAATTCGCGAATGAACACTCATGATCGTCCGGTTGTTTCAATCCATCCGGGATCGACTACTTGATTTACTTGATTCAACAGAGATGCTCATTGATCTTGTTATTTGCAGGGCTGTGAACCAGTTAAATGGCTACGATTTCGAGGGCAATCCGCTGAAAGTGGAGATGTCCTCGGCGGAGAGCCGACGCAGAGGCCGCAGCCAACGCAGCGGCGGCGTGGCCTTCGCGGGACTGCCGGGTTCCGGTCGTCAGACGGATTTCCCGCTGCGTATCCTCGTCCAATCCGACATGGTGGGTGCGATAATCGGCCGGCAAGGTTCCACCATACGGCAGATCACGCAGATGACACGCGCCCGGGTCGATGTGCATCGTAAGGACAACGTCGGCTCTCTGGAGAAAGCTATCACCATCTACGGCAATCCCGAGAACTGCACCAATGCTTGCAAGAAGATCCTGGAAGTCATGCAACAGGAGGCCAACAACACGAACAAGGGGTACGAGTTTGGTCTTTGCTTCTTCGAATCTTCAAATTCTAAATGGAATCATAATAATCGCAGTGCTGGTCGAGTAGATATATATTAAATGATATAGTCTATATTTTTATGTTTACTTTGTGTTAAATGTAATCTATTTTAATACTGTTTATGACTTTCTAGTAACGTATACTTTATTCGTTAATTCGGTTTCAGTACACTAATATTCTTGCAATCATATTATTTTAAATACATAAACACAATTTAATAATATTGTTAATTTACATCGCTTTACCGAATCGTTGTTTCACCGTTAATTGAATTGTAACGTTAATTACATTATATTATGTTACTTGCCAACAGTGAGATCACTCTGAAAATCCTCGCGCACAACAATCTCATCGGTCGAATCATCGGTAAGGGCGGTAACACCATCAAGAGAATCATGCAGGACACCGATACGAAGATCACTGTTAGCAGTATCAACGACATCAACAGCTTCAATCTCGAACGCATCATCACGGTTAAGGGATCAATCGACAACATGAGCAAAGCCGAGTCCATGATCTCCAGCAAGCTCCGTCAAAGCTACGAAAACGATCTGCAAGCTATGGCTGTGAGTTTTAGCGCATGTTACTCATTTTTTTCTTGTACAATAAAATACAATTTTTCTTAGAAATCTCTCTGGAATTAAAAAAATATATAGGAAAAATAGAAACGTGAAAGAAATTATTAAAAAAACAAACGGTATAAATGTACAAATAATACATTCACGCGAATTTTATTGAGACTTGTAAGTGACCTTATTACATGAAAATCGAGTCTCGAAGGGTTCTATTAAAAGTTTTAGATTTAATATTTACTTATCAGAAATTAAAGTGGCAAGAGCAAACTCTTTCGTCGAGCTTTCAGTTAATCCAGAAACGTTGGATTGTGTGTCAATCTCGTTGAGATCTGGCGCAAGTAAAATACATCGATTGCGTCAGAGATGCCGTTGCGCAACGCGACGAAGCTTCTAATCGATATGATGATTGTTCTCGCCAGCCCCAAAGCATGATGTTCCCCGGCCTGCACCCGATGGCCATGATGTCCACCGCCGGCATGGGCTACAGCTCCCGTGGTCCCGGCCTCTATGGTTCTGGACCCGCCCCATATCCCTACCAGAGCAGCCTGCCTACTCAACAGGGCGTCCCCGCCAGCGATACCCAGGAGACGACTTTCCTCTACATTCCCAACAACAGTGTCGGCGCCATCATCGGCACCAAAGGCTCCCATATCCGTAACATAATCAGGTTCTCCGGCGCGAGCGTAAAGATCGCTCCTCTTGAACAAGATAAGCCGGCTGAGCAACAGACTGAGAGGAAGGTCACCATCGTCGGCTCCCCGGAATCTCAGTGGAAGGTAAGCGCGATAACCGTCCTGGTTGTTCCTTAATCTAAAGGGTGGGCCATCTATTGGTACGTTTTTGAATTTTAGCTTCACAACAAAAAAAAAATTAATAAAAAATATCAATGTATGCTCATTTGATCGCATTTTTAAAAACGTACCAATAGATGGCCCACCCTGTATTAAGCAAGAGCGAAATTTTTTATTTTATAATTTCTTCAGTTTTACAATGCGAATATTTATATCGGCAGCTCTGTCAGATCTGTTTGTTATAATTAAAATGAACATATTTGAAATATGTGAGCTATAAAACCATGACTTTTTGCTAATAGTACAATAGCGTCTGAAGTCTGTTTTACTGTCCGTATAATGTCGATGCCATATTGGCAGATAGGTATCGCATTGGTCCATCGTTGTAAAGGTCCCGGGTTCGAATCCAGTCGCTGATGAGAAAAATTGTATAAAACTTTAAAGTCCGTAAAAGTGTTTGCGGTTACCCTGCTGCATTTTGGGTGGATGTTGCCTTCTATGCATCAACTTGAATCAGCAGGAATATTAAAGAAAGGGCCCCGTACCGATCTCGTCGAACGAAAAATATGCGAGAATCGGCCCCGTTTGACCCTTCGACATCTTTTTTTTTTTCTTTTCGTTTGATATTACTTCGCTTCTGAAGATTTTTCTTCAAGATAACGGAGAGATTTAATTTTTATATTTTTACATTTTTTTTATAATCATTTAAATGTCAAGCTCTATTTTGCAATACAATTTTATTGCATTTTTAAATATTTTTACATTATCCAAAATTGCGATTTCAGGCCCAGTATTTGATCTTTGAGAAGATGCGGGAAGAGGGATACGTCGCCGGTACCGAAGATGTTAGACTGACCATCGAGATCCTCGTGCCCAGTACTCAGGTCGGCCGAATCATTGGCAAAGGTGGTCAAAACGTGAGGGAATTACAGCGCGTGACTGGTAGCGTTATTAAATTGTCAGAACAGCAAGCGACTCCTCCTTCAGCGGAAGAGGAAACAACTGTCCATATAATCGGTCCCTTCTTCTCCGTTCAGGTAAGAAAACTGATTTTTTTGTGTAATTTTTATAAATAAATAGATAAATATTAGATATCTGTTACGAAATATATAAATTATCTTATCTCGTATTCTCGTACTCTTATATATCAATAATTAAATACGATAATCATTTCTTCATCATTTTTTCTTAAATTTAAAAGAAACTAACAAGCTACTAGCGCATTAGAAAAGATGTAAAGTGTGAGATTTAAAATAGTGATGGATATAAATACTTTCTGTTTTCTTACAGTCGGCACAGAGAAGAATCCGCGCGATGGTGTTGCAATCAGGTGCACCCGGTGGAACCGGTGGTGCTACACGCGCCGGTCGCGGTAGCAGCCAAGAGGGTACCTCCCGTTCTAAAAGAGATGGCAGCGCCACTTCCCAGGGCGGCACGACGTCGCAGCCCAGCTCCCAACAGCAGTCTGTCGGCTCGCCATCGAGCCAACAACAGCAGCAGCAGCAGCAGCAACAGCCGCAGCCGCCATCATCGCCGCAGTAACATTAACATCGATGACACCGACCTGACGCGGACCGACGCCACAAACGCCCATCCGCTTCATTCGCCGGAGTGGCCTCGTCGTCGCTTTGACATTCTCTCTCGTCGAGAGGCTGAGCTTATCGCGATCTCCTCCTCTCGCGGGGCGCGCGCGACCCTCCCTGATGAGGGAGGGCTTCGAAGTCGAGGGTGCGCGACGCGCAGATCGCGACGGGAAGACGCCCGGCAATGTTCTGAGAATTAACTCGACCCGAGATCCAACAACTAGATTCGCGGACTCTCGCACTTAGTGAGGTAGTAACAAGGTTCCCGTTATCAGTTTTATAAATGATTCACGAGTCCTAACTTGACGAATCAACGGGAATTCTGAAGAAGGGTGCTCGGCGAGTCCACAATTCGGCGAGTTAATTCTGAGAATTCGAACGAAGAATTGTTATTCCAAAGATTCTAATTCCAAGACTCGATTGTTGTGAGTCAATCTGAAGAGTCAACGAGGCCCTGGGCCCTCCGTTCGGTTCGACACGGGCGCGTTCATCGTGATCGATGTTAATCACGTGCGAATGATTAATTTAAAGTCTTAAGTGTCCTTTTCGACAATGGGGATACACATATTGTGATTAATCGCATTGGTATTTGGTTGAAACAATTCGATTGCGATTCTTGAATTACAACTTAAACGCGAAGCTCGGCAATGGTAGGCGAAGCAAAGTGCGGAGCTGCAATCGATCGGAGGAGCACCGAACATATATTATCGAATCTGGCTTCGTCCAGGTAGACACTGCCCATACGCGATCGCTGACTCTCACGACGAACTCCCATCCTCGTTGACGAGGATCGTGGCGTTTTCCCCTTTGCTCTACGCGTCGCGCCTGCGTCCCGCGCGCGCACATCCCCCGCGATAGCGACGAAGCGACAACACACAGCCGCGCACGACCCAATTTCGCAGCGCTAACGAAACCACCGCCGCCGATGAAATAGGACACTTCGACGAGAAACAAACTGATTTAAAAAAAAAAAATAGAAAAAAAAGAAAAACACACACAACCTTATTACCTCATTGCATTACGGTTAAAGATTTAATACGATAAAGGAAAGTGAAACGCGCGGGAGAAGCGATAAACCGATTAATCTAAAAAAAAAAAAGAAAAAGTCTATCTAATATTAAAGTTATTAATAATATACAGAGAAGTTAAGTGACAATTACATATTATGTTATATCTGTTACTACTACTGCAACTATTACTATTATTACTACCTACTACCTACCTAATATACTATTATCGCTATATACTATTTACTTACTTCTTACTAGTACTACAGGAGGAAAGCGGTTTTTCTTAAAAAAAAAAAAAAAGAAGAAAGCAACAAAAAACACACAGATTAGGTACAGTTCTTTTATACACACACAATTCAGAGACGTTGAATAATAATATACGAGACTTAAATAATACCGAGACCGTGTATCGCGGAACGGCGAACTCCGTTGACGGTTGTAGACATAAGCCAGGATGTCTCAGGAGGAGAAGAGAATAGAAGCGACCCCCGCGCCCCAACCCGCCCCTCCTCGCACGTAATACCAAAGAAGCGACTATGAGTTATTTCGTATTAGTGAAGTGAAATGCGTCGTGTACGCTCTATTCGCCTCAAGTTCCTCATCAAGAGCCACGAAAGGAAGAGAAAGAAAGAAAGAGGAGGGATCAGATACGAGAACGTGAGAGGGGAAACCGACGAGTGATCATCAGACGTCGAAAACAACGTCGACGAGACATCGAGTCGCTGGGCACGAGTGATTGATGATGATGAAGAAGAAAGAAGGAAGAATGAGAGAAAAGGGAGAGAGGAGACGAAAGCCCGATCGTGTAATACTATATTGATACGACACCATTTTATGCCATGTTTTCAAAGAACGTCTCTCAAACATATAGAGAGAATGAAAAAGCGACTAGTCGGTACGCAACGAAGAGCAGCGAGTGAGAGAGAAAGAAAGAGATAAAGATAGAGAAGTACAAGGAGAAGCAAAAGAGAGACAGACGGCGAGCGAAGGAGGGGATATAAGGGACAAAAAGTGAACAGACAAAACTTTTCAGGGATTTTTACTTTTACCATGAATGTAATAATGTGTGAGTGTGCGTGTGTTGAATAATAATTATTAATTAATAAGTAATTTGATTACTGAGAGATTAGAGAAGAGTTAACGGCGAGGAAAGGTGATGGAAAGAGTAAGGAAGAATCAGTCTTAACGCGAGATAGGCAAGAGATGGATGAGAAGAAAAGGAAAGTGGAGGGACGATATGAGAGAGAGAGAGAGAGAGAGAGAGAGAGAGAGAGAGAGAGAGAGCGAGAGCGAGAGAGAGCGAGCGAGGTGTCGCGACGTTTGATCGCGACATTTACTCTCGCCGCGGATGGTGTGTCGCCGAGACGAGCGTCGAGACGGAGCCTCCGCGAGGCGTCTCCCGACAAGCCTGCGAACCCCGTAATTTTTGCAAATTATAGCTGTTAGAGGCGCGCAGGATCCGGCCGGGGCGCGGAGAACCGCGGAGCGCAATAATCTCGATCTCGCATCGATATCGCGACCGGCAGCGTGTATAATCGGCCATTATTATCCCATTGCACGGAGAGCCAAGAGATTCCTTTCGGAAACGAGGATAATCCGAGGATAACGCGAAGACGTTCGGCGAGGCGAAACGAAAGGGAAGAAAAATCAAAGAAGAAGAAACCGAGGCGCAATTTCGCGTTCTCCAACAAGTGGCGTTACATTATTAAAAACAACCTCGAGCCTTGCTCTAGCACGGTATATTAATGACCGAGTACGCGTCACAGTCGCTGTATCGAGTTCTGATGAGACATTCCTAAGTGATGCTTTTAGAACGATATGGGGAAGAGAAAGAGAAAGAGACAGAGAGGACAAATGAGAGAGAAAGAGAGGGAGAGAGAGAGAGAGAGAGAGAGAGAGAGAGG